ATACAACAGTGCAATGGCTTTTGCGTCGCTTTCCGCTACGCAAAAAGAGATTCCGGGAAATGGGCCTTACCGTTTTAAAATTCATAGATATATTTCTGACTTACTATCGCGAAATGCGGAGTTGCCTTCATATGGACAATTGTATTTCAATGACACATCAGAAGAAACTAATATACGACTCCAACCAAAGGAAAACCAAGATATAAAACAAGAAACACTGTTAATTTTAAGTAACATAAAATTGACAATTTTAAAAACATATTTCAAGTATTTGCCTTTTTATATATAGTTTTTTTAATTTTTATTATAGTCTAAACTAGAGGCTATGGTCCCTACAGGCCACTAGTGTTTAATAATGTAGTTGAATAGTCTCAAATTGTTGGTACTTGTATAGTTGTGATTAATACAACATTCCTAAAATGATTTAAACCTTTTATGTTTTATTCCTAATATATTGTATTGTTGTTGGGGTGTAAGACTTAAACCTCATAATCCAAAGTAAAAACTCACTTTTGACTCTAAATTGTTACACGGTCCAAATAATGTTCAATAAAAATTCCCTACATTTCCAGCATCGGTTTGCGATAGGAGGGGAGGGGCGAAAGTTGAAAAATTAGTTTAGTTAAGTAATTAATGTTTTTATGCAATATTTCCATAACAATGCGATTTAGTACTAAACATGTTATTAACCAAAATAATTTAAAACTCATTCATATTCAATGGAGAATATTTTTTGTGTACAGAATGTTAGCCTGAAAAGTGGCCTGTGAATGTTAGTGAAAATACCTTGAAATGAACGACCACCTTGACGGGCCTCGACCCTACTCATTGGGCACTATTTTTTTTTATTGAAAAGAATCTTGCGAAAGCCTACACTCAAAAGGCTATTTGAGGAAATTCAAAAAATATAAATTATTCATTCAACCAACATATTTGGTTAGCACACCTCACATTCCTTGGTTGTTGTTAGCTTTGTTCTCGAGGTAATATAAATATAGCAGTGGCAGGAATTGATGGTAAAGAATAAATAACAGGGCAATATGTAAACTATGGCTTATATGATACATTGGCATAATGATATATGTTGCCAAAACTAATTTAGAGCAAGCCTCTCAGAAAAAATGCTTTTTCAATGGGCCGCAACTATTCTATGAGTCACAGTAATCCCGAATAAATAAGTGCAAATCAGGGACCAAGTTGTCCGGATTCCTGAAATTCCTTATTAAATGATCATTTTGATACAGAACCTCGGTAATCTGGCCTATATCAGCTGGTAGATTTGCTTAAGGAAAAGGTCGGATCATCAAAAGACCACTTAAATTAGTGAATTATAGAGTTACTAGGTGAAACCCGTCGAAATCGACGGTAAATTTCAAGGCTTACGCTAATTCATCTAACTGCGATAAATTGAGTAAAATTATACATATTTTGAGAATTTAGCATTGTTTTTTGTTTAAAGAGTAATAAGTGTAAAAAAAATAATGATATTAATTGCGTTCGTTACAAAAAATGGTTGATCATTCAACGAATAAAATATTTCCCATACCGTACGTCATCGGAGATATTATTAGTATGTTATCTGGAAAATAGCATTGCAAATACTTCTTTTGGACTATTTAGTAACTCCCAATAAATGTGTGTTGTTTAGATTACAATTTAAAAATGAACAGCTGTTTCTTTAAAAAGTGTTATCCACATGACCAAAATGTAAACAAATCTGTGGAGGGATCTTTAAAGGCTCCTGGAACAGAGCCCTAAGAGAATTCACTTAGTTTTTCTTTTGATAATTGATCTACAGACCAAGACCTTTCTTTTGACACCTCTACCAAGTTTCTACGCCAAGCCATTCTCTCAAATTAGTGGAGACAAAGTTTCCAATTAAATATTTAGATTCCCCCATGTTAATCTTATGGGAGAAAACCCAACTTTGATGGAAGATCCTGCCCAAACTAATAAAGATTTCAAAAAACCAAAAACACTTTGCAAAACAACAGATCAGGGCAAATTTTTGACATGTGGGAGGAGTTCTGTTCATAAAAATCGGCTTAGCGTATTATATATATAGATAGATTATTAAAACAGCTTGGTTGAAAACCTGATGTACCGTGATATTACTTTCCGATACGAAAATAAATTATAAGGTACAAAAGGACACATTTTAATTTGTATTTATTTGTTTAATAAGTGGTTGGCAGTCTATTTTAACCCATTTTGCATTTGCCCATCCACATAGGCTATTGACCTGTGCGTGGAACATATCAAGCACAGCAAGGGGTGAGTCGGTACAGTACAAAGGTGGACTGTACTGATAAAAAGTAGCAGCAGTGACCAGGACCCGAACCCACAACATCGCTGCCTTGGGCCTGAAGTCCATGAGTCTACTGACTGAGCCTCCGACTCACCAGTACATTTAAGACATATTGTACTGTATCTATATATTAATACGCAAGCAGTTTTCTTTTCACAGTCATAACTCAATAACGGCTTGATGGATTTTAAAGTTTGAGGTGTCAAATCAAAGGTATTTTCACGTAGATGTGCAAATACGTCTCAGAATATTAAGAAAGGGCACCACTTAAGGGCTAAAGTTTGGAAGGCGGCGCTATCTGTTGACATTAGATCAAACTCATTTCCTTTTGTTTACAAATAACATATGACATAAGACTGCAGGACTTAAAATTTTCAGAGCAAAACTAGAATTTATATTTTGTTTCAATCTGTTAACCAAGTCAGGTTCATAATAAAGAGTTTCATGTTAATATTTCATTCTTTTTGACTATGGTTAAATTGATTTACCTTACATCGCACGTTACTGATTATCATGTAGTTACAGTTCGATGCGATGAAGTGAATGTTTAAAAGTGATTATTCACAGGGCAGTTATCCGTTACATTACCATATTATCATGTAATTTACAATGTGTATCAAAATTCCAATTCCTTTATAGTGTTTTCTATTGTTTGGTTAACTTTCTTATTTCATTTTGATTTAAAATCAAATGCTGCCAGTACGACGAAGAACTGTGAGTGGCTGGAGGGAACGCAAACATGACCGCTTGCATCACCTCTCAATTGAACATTTGACGGGTACACATAGTGGTAGTACCACCGTTGTGATACATCCAATCTCGGACAAATAAACGTTAAATGTTAACATTGTAGTGGATTACATTTTTTAATCAAGAACAGACTGGCTGAGACAGTTAAGATTTTACTCTTTGTTGCCATAAATGAAAGGTTCGTTTTCCTCATTTGTGCAATTCACCATACCTTCAGAATCTTATTGGAAACTCCCAATCTGAAAAAAAAGGACTGCGAGACTTATATCCAGAAATTATTTGGATAAAATTCGTCAATTCAATTCTGCCTTTACCATAGTCAGCTCCGAAGCTCATTAAGATGATAAAATTCCACAGGGGATCGACAATTTCAAGATTCATGACACGTTTTACCACCGAGTAGGTCCTCTAATTTCTCATGAAGGTGATGATCCTCAATACGCATAGATATAAGTAGAATAATGTCACTAGAGCCCAAAGGAGAATTAAGCACAACTCAAACAAAAAATACAATGAAAAATATGTGGAAAATAGGGTCACAATGCCCATTTGCAAATCTTTGAAGATAGTGGCAGATATTCTTTAGTAACGAGAGCTCCGAGGAGTCAAGTGAGATTCTTATGTATATAATAAGAGACAGAAGAAGTTTCTTCCCTCTCTACAATGGTGCTACCTGTGTAGATGTCACAGCAATTTTTAAAGCTGAAAACAAAGCAGCACCTGGCCAAATAAATCGTATAGTTTTTTCCAATACTATTAATGCTAAACGAGTGTCCATTCTAGATCTGTTGTTAGGTCAATTTGCTTACCCCCTTATGTTCCCAACCGGAGACTTGGGTTGGGGCCCCTAATTTAAACACGCCTAAAACAGAACACATCAAAGAAATAATTTAACAATGCTAGAATAAGAGTAGCAATGGTTGGCGTCAAGATAGGAATTGAGCTACATTAGGTCAAAAGCTCACTTTACAGTGTGTGTACAAGTGTGGTTGACATCTACGTGCTCATAGAGTGCACCCGCCTCCTATACATAAGAGATAACTAAAGCAGTACGAGAGTGAATGTAAATGTAAATATTGTAGATTACTTTTATATATTTTACATCATAATATTTTTTATATTCTATTATCAGTCAGATAAATTATTTTAGAGTTACTCTTTGATTAAGGTCTTGCTGTTTATTCTTTAAATACAAGTTTCAGTTTTGCTTGATTTCGAGCCGTGGGTTATCCAGTTCAATATTAAATTACAGACATACTTTTTTCAGACTATGCTTTTTTTTGGGATGGGATCCAGCTGTATTACTAGAGGGTCCAGATTGAGATTGTCGGTTCTACTGATACTAGTGATGTGGTTGAACTAGCTTAAAGGAAACACGAATCCTTGGAAATTTAAACCATTGGGTTCATTGTAATCACATATAGACAGATTTAATACACCCTAAAATAGATAACAGCTGTCGGATGTACCGGTAGTATTAATGCTACTTCGTCCACCTAATGTGAGGCACGGTGATGTCAGAGGACAACCATTTTCTGTTTGAAAATAACCAATGAGTTACGGAGCTGAAAACTTGTCTGGTGTGACATACAGGGAATCATTTCTACAGCCATGGCAATGACAAAGTTACCACTTGGCAATGACAATATTTTTAAAGTATGAAGCATTACTGTGCTACTAAACAGTATGCTACATAACAAAACTAAGAAGTTTACAACTGCACATTCCTCATCCACCAGTAATATATTTTTAAATACCACTGTCAAACGTCAAGCTAAGTCTATGCTCCAAAGCTAATCTATGCTCAAGCTAAGTCTATGCTCTATATGAATGAGATCCATATTAATGAGGTTTTACTCTAATTCATTGAGCTAAGATAATTTTTTTTAAATTTCATCTTTGATAAGAAGTAAAGGGTGATAGGAGAAATACAATATTTAGGCAATAACAATATAATAATATTAAAATAAAATATATGTGTAAAATATAACAATTATTGGTAAGACTAACTTGTGTATAAAACAATGCTTTGAATTCATAAACCACCCGTAACATTGATTGAAGCCCCGTTGATGTAGGACGACCGTTCAGACGCAAGGAAAACTATGACTTCAGCAACCTCTGGAAAAAATAAGGAAAGAGAGGTTAATAGCTGTCGCGCTAAACAATTTTAAAACAGAAGCAATTCTGAGATTTTAGTGTATAATAATAAAAGTTAATGCTTTACCATAATATTTAGTACACACAATTTCTTAGCTTCTATACTTCACATATGGAGTCAATGTAAAACTCAAACTTGTTTATTAACACGTTCAATGTGGGTGACGAGTAATCTCGTCATTGCTGGCCCTGCCAAGCGGCGCGCGACGAGTATACTCGTCAAAGCAAAAAATTATTGCCTCGATATGAGCTGAGCCGTCGATGGAGGATGTTGTTTTTCGTTGCGCTGAATGTAGTAGTCCTTTGTGTTTCCTCGGGCGGCGTCATTCCCGTCCCGCACGGTTTTATTGTTTTAGTGTGTTATATGACATACCGGTAAGTGTTGTGCAATAGTGAATGATTATGGCTGTTTCTTCACGGATTGATGACTTTCTCACTGAAGATTAACTAGGAGATACAGACAACAACCGTTTACAACACAAACCAAGGATTACTTTTGGTGTCACGTGAGTCGTTCTACATGGCAGCCAAACGGGTGCGGCGGATGACGAGTATTCCTGTCATAAATGATGACATATATCTCATCAAAAATGTAATCTTTTAACGAAATAACACCAGATCATCATCGTAAACGACATTTGAGAAGTTAATTTGAGTTCTCATATTTTAGCTACAAGTGATATAGCCAATTTAGTTGCCGCATTGAACATGTCAACTGTGTATGTTAACATTGTTAACATGTTAACAATGTACACAGATGGGTGCATCTGTCTTTTTGACCAAAACAACATTCGCCTATTGGGTGTGGATGATGATGATTGGTGTGTCCAATCGAAATCGATCACCACTTACCATCTTTTATGTATATTTACCGTATTGTGAGAAAAAGTACAAGCGTAAATATATGTTTTAAGAGTTATAAGGGGTTTCTATTATTTAATTTCTGCACATATTATATCAACTGGCAATAGAAATTAACATGGATTTTTATTTGTCCTACGGAAACCTATCACTGAACAGGATTCGTACTCGGTGGGATCTTGCATTGTTTTTGGATAATATGACAAGCAGTGCCGGATTTAAGGTACTTGCGGCCCTAGGCCAAATTACTTGAGCGGCCCCCGTCCCTGTGGTGGAAATTCCCTTTAATAGCAGTGAAATAGTGAAAATCTCCCACGATCATCATCATCATCATCGTCCTCACCAGCGATCGTGTATAAAATCGTGTACATCTCCCGAGGACCACAATCACGGGGAAATCATCATTGTGAACATCTCCAGTGGGTTGCATTTAAACGGACATTGCATTTATCATTGACATTCGCGACTGCGGCAAAATCGGGGACATCTCCCGCAGACCACAACCGCAGATGCATCATCATCTTCACCCGCGACCGCGGCAAAATCATTTACAACTCCTGTGGGCCACAATCTCAGGGAAATCATGATTTAAAATTTGCGACTGCACCAAAATTGTGACCATCTCACTCGGGCCGCAATCATGGGGACATCATCATCGACACCTGTGACCGCGGCGAAATCATGAACATCTCCCGCGGGCCGCAATCATGGAGAAATCAATGTTGTCACCTGCGTCCGCAGCAAACTGATGGTTTTAAAAAATTAAAATGTTTTTTTCTGAAAAAAACGTTTTTGTCAATCCTCTGCGGCCCCCTTTGCTTGCTCCTAGTCAGTACATCAGCCCCTAGTGGTAAATACGGCACTGATGACAAGGTTAATCGGCTTATAAGGATGAGAGTCAACAAGAATTGTAGTGGACAACGTTAAAACAGGATGTTCGACTCAGATTAAAACTAGAGTGCTTGGCCACAACTAGAGCTCAATGGAGGCATCTGTTTAAAAACAACTACTGTATGTATTAGATCTAGATGTAACAATTTTAAACATTTTTCAAACAATGTATTAAAAAAAGAAAAATGTCTACATTCTTGTCGGTACTGAAATGTGTATTGGAACACGATAAAACCGCCAATGCTCATTTTTGTGAAGGTCTAGTATTGGTCCAAACATTGGAAAACTATCAATGGCAATTGCAATCAAGCAAATACGCATTTATCTTTAACTTCGCTCTTCATGATTTTACAACTCTATTTGGTGGTAAAAAAGTTCAGTAAACACACTTGTTATGGATTCAAAATTAAATAATTTTCAGATTAAAACGGATGCAAGGTTTTTTGGCAAAACCATTACTTGGTTACACTCTACTAACCTTGAGGAGTGCCCATGCGAGCTAGAGGTATCTGCGACGTAAACATCTGTTTGACTTTATCAGGTACAGTACTTTGTCTGTCATTGGAGTTTGTATGAAACCTGGTACTACAGCATTGCAGCGGACCCCACAACTGGAATATAAGAAATAGTACTGGAAAGTTGAGTTCTCATAAGTAATTTTGTTCAATACTATAGCTGTTACTCGTCCGCTTCGCCTGACATACTTTTAAGTTTTAACATGAACGAGCAGAAGTTGTGATTTCACTAAGGGCTAACATGACCTTTTAATTTTTTTTCTGTATAATAACAGTTATTAAGGATTAAATGCATTCTTATAAAGCCTGAATTGGAACTAAGGGAGAACTTCTTTTTTTGAAAAATTAACTGGTTTACCAAGAGCTTGGAACTACTCTCTCTGGAAAAAAATCATAATGTTTTTACCAAGTTACTATTCCAGATCTATCTCATTGTAGTAACAGTTATTAAGGATCAGGGCGAAATCATGAACCTCTCCCATCAACCACAGATATCATAAAATTTTGATTGTGCAAATTCTCAGGTGCTTTCTGTGATTGCAATATCATTGGAGATACTACATTTTCTGACTTGGTGCTCTTAACTCCAAACTCCAGCTTTGAAGCTAGGCTCGACTTGTCAAATTTTGCTGTTTTCACACCTCTAATCATTGACCAACACTTAAGTTCACGAACACAATTTCAGTGCAATGCAGATTGCAGAGTGGCTCATCTGGATTGGGCAATACAGAAACAGTGACAGGAAAATAATATTAATACATTTTTGAATTAGAATTTTAGCTGAGTTGGATTGCTTGACGATCTTGGCAAGGACACAATTGGATAAACAGAGATTTTACTACAGTGACCTCCTGATTTACCGAGGTTGTTGGGATTGAGCCTACCTCGGTTACCGAGAATCTTGGATAATACTGAGGTCTCTTTGATTTTGAGGTTAGGGTTACGGTACCACATTAGGGGTCTGACTTAGGGGAGGTACGAAAGAGGCACTTAGTTCAAAATTCCTCCGTGAACAGCGCTGTAGTAGAGAGCACTTTGGCAATGAAGGTTTACTAATCGCAAAAATAGTTCTGTTCATAAAATAAAATTATAAATGTCTCAAATTCAACTTTATTATTTCTTAATTATAAAATTAAACTATCATAACCTAACCGAACTAACCAAACTTGCTGATAAAGAATTAATATAACAAAAGTTTAGTAATCGGAAAAATTAAATAATTCTGTTTATTAAAATAAAACTAGAAATTGCTCAATTAAAATTTTATAATGACTTAATAATAAAATTTAACTGTAATAACCAAACCAAACCAACCAAACTTGCTGATAATAAAAAAATCTTGGACAAAAAGTTAATGCTACCAGCGGGATTCGAACCCGGGACCTACAGTATATCAGCCCAGCACGCTAACCATTAGACCACCGAGGCCGATGGCTAATGTCCGTTTTATTACGGTAATGGCGTTCCCTCAGCTAATAAGAAGCCCACAGCTGTCATCGTAGCCTCTTCTATACCTCCCCTGAGTAAATACCCCACATTAGGAAGTCAAAGACTTAAAAAGTATCCTATGTTTCAATAATAATGCATAGGCCTAGAGAATACAAAATGGTCAATTTATTGGTATTCGCATGGAAAATGTTTTAAAAATAAGACAGTGTTATTCAGGAAAACAGGTAAATCTAACATGTTTAACACCTTTTAAATTGTCTTTAAAAACTTAAAATACAGTAGGGCTATTATTAAATGATGCTAAGTCAACACTCTACAAGAATAAATAAAAACAACAGAATAAGGTGAATCCATATAGTTATTAAAGTAGGCTATAAAATTTATTTTTGTTTGAGTTTGACTTTAACTATACTTGACACTATCAAGTCATTGTAATGACAAACACTGACAAAAGGCGATACGAGCCGGCAATGCCCAAGCAGAAATGCCACTATTTTTGTTGAAGTTCTGCATACGACTAGTACAGCTTACCAATGGTTAGATGCCAACTTAGTAGCTTACTGTCTGTGACTTTTTCTTTTCTAGGTTACTGCTAAACATTTCTATGTTAAAATAATAGGTACCTAAGATAGTAATTATTTAAAGTATTCATTTTAAGAAATCACAAATTACAGTGCGGTACCCTCTACTTTTACTTTACTTTCAACAGAGAGATTACAAAAAATGTAATTGCTGTTTTCCAAATGGAAATAAAAAATTTATATATTTAAGCCTAAAACGACCTTGGATAATCCGAGGGCTCTTATAAAGCGGGGATCGGATAATCGAGAGTGGAATGTATTAGGCTACTGTTTAATTTCTAGACAAAATTAGTAGTGGTTCATCTACTTACAATCCCATTTCCTTGGCAACACTCTTAGTGAAGGCCTCAACGGCAGCTTTGCTAGCAGCGTAGTTACTCTGGCCCATGTTGCCAGTCTGGCCCACCACACTGGCTATGTTGACTACTGAGCCTGTTTGTTTGTTGGTTGCCAATGCCTCACACACTGCCTTGGTAACTGCGTATGTTCCCTGCAAACAGTAAAAATAATTGTTTACTGCATTGTAGGCTATTTAGCAGCATGCTATCTGTCGGAAACATTATCCTGTTAAAAAACAGAAAGTCCATACACTTTTTTTCCATACACTGGTCGCCACTCTGTCAGCTGATTGGTATCTAAGTGCAGATTTCCAGTGGTTGTCAACTCATACCAAATTGTTCGTCACCCGTTTGAAAAGCTACCGAGTGATTATGATCTGAATACCTTGATGCAAATGGTTTTGTCAAATAGTATACCGTGGAAGGATGATGAGTGCAGGATTAGAGACGAAATTGTGGTATTCTATCAGCAAGCGTATACTATTTTAATAGACACTAGTGGCTTGTAGGGACATAAGTCCCTAAAAAGCTCAAATGTAAAACAACTTTTTGCAATACCGGTATTTAAACAAACTCAGAATAACATTATCTATGTGTCATCACTCCAGTGGTTTAACATGAAAAGGCAGCAAACATAACATTGTTTGTGAATAAATACTGGTTTACTAAGGTAGCTTTGGTCTTGTGGTCAATGAGGATAAATAAAAGCTTCCCTGTTTGGAATTTTAAAAATTCATTGGAGGTTCGCCTTCAGATGAATTGAAGACGCCTGCAATTTCATCTGCAGTAGGCTTATTATACCTACGACGATCCATATTTATCCTGTTTACAAACCTAAGTTCTAATTCACTGTCACCTTGTACAACCATTTCTTCCGAAGCTCTTTTGTAAATTTGTGCAAATGGATTTTCTAATAGAATTTCAGCTAGTTTTGACAATATTTCAGGTTTTAAGTCACTATTTTCTCGACGCCTTTGACGAATTTCTGTTGCTGTTGATGTGTCAATAATGTACAATTGGCCATACACGGGGTCTTCATCATATTGAGGGAGCAAATCTGAGATTGAACGATAAATCTGTCCTTGAATTTTGAAACAGTATGGTCCTTTTCCTGGAATATCTTTCTTACTGGCTGAAAAATAAGCAAAAGCCATCGCACTGTTGCATTGTCGAATAAATTTATACAGTTGTGGGCTCTCTTCAAACAAACTTTTAAGTTCTACATTAGTTTTTGACTGAGGAAGGTTAATAAGTCCGTTATGGCAACATGTCATAAAATGATTATTCGTTAGTTCTTCTCTAAAATGAAGAGCACTACATTGAGTGCACTCTTGGTCCAGTAATCCTGCATCATGGATCTTTACATTTCTCTCGTCTACCATGGGTCTCCTAAAAAGGGGTTGTAACATATCTTGATTAAGTTCGTCATTATCTAATCTTGCTCTCCTACGCGCACTGTCATTCCTATGAACAGTTCCCCGCCTTTGTGGTATTCCCCTGGCGTTCATATTAATTACAGTACTTATAATGAAAAGAATATATATCCAGCAGCCTACATACCAAAACATCTTGAATCCCTGGTGATTTTATAAAAGTATGATCGAATATGATTACTCTACGTTGTATATTCACTGCACTAAAAAAATTTACTTACGAAGGAATGCAAATACACCATTTTAGAACCAATAACATTTATAGGTTATTTTAGTTGTATATATTCACACAACCTTAACCTTAAAATGTGTAGAAATATAAGGAAAACAACATCATTTAAAATAAACTTGAACATATGATTTAAAAATAAAAACAAAACAGAAGTTAGATTTAATTTCGACTCTTTGATTATTTAAACAGAATATTTATTCTATGTCGTTTATTCCTTTAATACGACAATAACGTAAAAGCATGAAAAAATGAAACTTGAGTATATGATTTAAATATAAACAAAGAATGCAGACGTTTTTCCGACTAATCTTCAATATTTCAGTTTTATTATAGTAGGCCTATACATTTCATAGTTGACTGGCTAAAAGTAAACCAAATGCGTGTATTGATCACTGTTTTCAAATCTGTGGCACAACTGTTTTAATTTCAAAAGATGTAAACAAATTAAACCCCATGTTGTTTTAATGGGAAAAGTTTTACTCTGTTGCGAATTTATGGTAAAAAAATAAGAAAAATGAATAGTTTTCCCTCAAAATTCACGTCAAGACCTTTAAAATAAGACCCCTCCCATCCTTCGACGGCCATCCAGTCACTCACAATTTCTTTACAAAAATTTGACTTACGGAATTATATATATAGATATGTTTTCGGAGTAGAGCTATTACCACCAATAAAACAGTAAAATACCGGTATACCATTGGTAACAATTGAAAGGTTACTTCACTAGGTACTCTTGTGGCGGGTTTCAGTGGTGCAGGTGTTGAGAGGGTAGCGCTACCGATGGTAGAGGGGGAATATCTGGGCAAATATATGAGTTAAATTGCTCACCAAACGATTTTAATGCATTTGCTCGCTGACAAACTTTCCTGGGAGCCAAGAGACCCAGTGCAGTGTGATGACCTACCTATTTAACAAATAACCCTGTGCTACCCAGCAATTGGCTGCAGCCAAAATTCAATACAAGAAGGAAATAAGACTCACTTTTACGTTAACATCAAACACCTGCTGGAACTGATCGTCGGTCATTTTGAGAAGGAATGCATCCCGAGTGATACCAGCTGAGTTGACCAGTACTGTGGGAGGTTGTGAGAAGTGAGATATGACCTTGGTCACGACCTCTCTGACCTTAATAGTGTCACTCACGTCTAGCTGCAGCGGCAAATGACCATCACCTGCAACAAAAAAAAAAAAAAACAGGGACGCAGTTGAAATATTAAATTCGATCAACATTCGATCATGCAATACATGCATAAGGAAAAACAAAAACATTTCTTCTTCATTCATTCTTATATGAATAAACAAAACTCACAATTTCTAAAACAAAACAACAATAGCAATCAGTATTTAGCAACATCAGTGCCCACACCAGGTTTATTGTTATAGGCCTACCTGGCAAATGAACTAGGTAAAAATTTGATCGTCATCGTTAAGTTATATCTAAAATGTGTAGCCTACAATAAATTAACTAACTGTGTTGTCTTTAAATGTTAACTGTACAGTTGTAGGAATGTCAACAAGTGGTGTGAGGATGTATTTCCTTAAGGCTTTGGCATATTTATGTAACTGTGTCATCGAGTAAAAAATGCTAACCAAGTAATTATTATTTAAACTTGGCTAACACATTTAGACTAAAAACATGGATCCATTAGGTCTATTCCTACATGGTTAAGTCGGAATTGAATCCTCTTAACTTACCAGTAAGAAGAGAAACAGTACTTTCTGCAGATTTGAGATCAAAGTCAGAAACCACAACTCTGGCTCCTTCTTTGGCCATTAGCTGACAAGCTGCCCGTCCGATTCCACTTCCCCCACCTTAAAATATACATAAGTTATTGTAAAATTATAGGCCTAGTCAAAATGTTGTGTGTTTAACGAGACCAAATTTAACAAAGGGCAAACAATAAAGTTGGACTTGAGTTAGGTCGTAAGGGCAGACAAATTAAATGTTGTTTGTAACTGAGGCCTGTTTGTTTATCATGGTACGGTAATAACTTATCTTAAGCTAATATACTTAGATAAGAAATGCTACCTTAGTCTAAAAAAAGAAACGGGTACAGTTTCTTAACTGGTCTACCCTAATATCAAATGAAACTATCGATTAGACCCTTCGTCTAATAACACTTCACATGATAAGGTTTGTGCATTTTAAGACGCATGAAGTTTTAACCTTTTGAGTACAGTTTCTTAACTGGGCTACCCTAAGTTAATATTGATTGAAACTAAGTTAAGTTGTCGATTCGATATTAGTAAACCTTCATCCATTTTTTTTTCATTATCAGAAAGTTTGGTTAGTTAGGTTAGGTTAAACAGTTTCATTTAATAACTAAGTTAACTTACTATAAAATCGATTAGGCTGTAAGTATAAGTTAGGCTGTCTAAAACTGTTTAGTTGACAACCTCATTAAACAGGAATAATGACACTAAGGATTGTTACATTCATTCTTCATTGACAAAAAGCAGTTTAAAAAAGGACTACCTGTAGGGTTAAATAATAAAACTTAAATATGCCAAAGCCTGAGGCCTCTGGGTCTTAACTTACCGGTGACAAGAGCTAATTTTCCACTCAACATTGTCATAACTCATAAGGCCTATAACGATGGAATCAAGACGAGTTTTAGTTACTTTATAGTTTGATATTGATTGAGAGTAGCTAATTTATTGTTCATGAGTTTTACTAAAATAAGATCAAAGGTCAAAGGTTTGTAAATACAGAAATGATAATGAAGGAAGAAGGAATTAGTAATTGAAGTAAGTTTACTGAACAAATAATGGGTATATTAAGATAAAAAAATATGTATGCCACATCAGAAATTCATTTCTCAGTTCCGTGAGCCTAATGAATTAATTTGTGGTAAGTTATTAGTTTTTAAGTTTATACTTTCATTGTAATTGTAAATAGAGGTTAGATTAATACAATAACAAACAACAGTCATTCAAAATGACAGTACAGAGTACAGACAGTACTGACAGACTACTACAGACAGACAGAGACAGATGAATACAAAAAATCATGATGTATTCTTCTTCTTCTCTTCTTTTCTCTCAACATCCCTACCTAGATACAATCGCATGTAGTCTAGTATTCCATTCCACGGCCGCCTTTAACTCCAGGCCGCGGCCTTCGAAGTGGCAATGTCGCAAGTGGTGTTGTAACAGCTGTTTCGTTTTGAAGCAGCTAATGGTATTTGTGTATTTACGAGAGATTGGTTACTGGACTAAGACAATATTGACTCCGCTTAAAATGTACAGATATTGACTTTTAATTCATATGGTTTCGGTTTTAAATTCTGTATGTTTTATTTTCAATATTCCAATAAATTTATGTTCATAAATTTAAATTTTAATCAATAAAGTGCTAATTAATGAGCTGATGTCACCTGTCTGCCATGCTATCTTATGGGACGTCTGTCGCTAAACAACACCACTTGCTACGTTGCCAATTCTAAAAGGCCGCGGCCTGTAGTTAAAGGTGGCCGTGAGTATTCCCAGTTAACATTATCCGTCTGGCCATTGATAAACCATAGCTGATTTCTCATCCTTTTGGAAAAGCTGCAGCCAATTTCATTGTTAGTTCTGTCCAGTGCCCTGTATAGGTCGTGTTTTGTTTACGATTTTAGTTATTTCAGTAATTTTAAACATTGTTTAACTAAATAAAACTATCTAATAAAAAATAGCTCGCCCCCTAGTTATATAACCAAACAGTAAAGCACAAATCATGAAACTAACCTTAAAAAAATATAAAGTAAATTTCGTCGACACCAGCGATCAGTGTCACAGGACATTAAGTAGACACGAATAACGAGCTTCAAAATTTACAATGGGATGAGAAGTCTAGGCCTACTTGTGTTGGGTAGTCTATGATAACAATACTGGTCTGGCACATCACAAGATAATAATCGTTATTCTGTGTTTGCTGGGCACTCAACACACAGGTGGTGATCGCTGGTCTGGCATGATTGATGATTGTAACGATCGATGACAATTATTGTGCTCCAGCAATCCAGTATCAACGTGAACCTGCTTTAGATAATCATGGATAAAAAGTTAGCCGCTGTGTGACTATCTGGGATTTATCAAGGGATGCATTTTAAATATCCTGAATATCCTGCAGTGGTGGTTCTCGGACCTTGCCAGGGAGGGGGCTACCAGGGGGCTTGGGGGGTGTGGAGAACCCCCCCTAAATAAAGTAAACAACAAAAACTGTGCCCAATTGTCCATAAACTCCCATTTCACCTGTTGTTTGTCATGAGCAAGTAGACATTTTTAAAAATAACTATGACGATTGCATTAATAAATCTCAAAACATATTGTAGGCTCTATACAGCCATGTCCTCCTAAAGGCTGTTTACTGACTTTATAAAGCCATTATTAATGCATATTTCTGTGTACAACTGTTCAAAAACCTCCCATTTTACGTGTTATTTGTCATGAGCAAGTAGACATTTTAAAATTTAAACTATGACGAACATTGCATATAAAAAGTTTTCTGTGCAAAACTTGTACAAAGCTTGTAATTTGACTTGTGTTTCGTCTAGTAAAGCTGAAAGACATTCTTTAAACCTTCTGTAGAAAACCTGTTTGCACACCACCGTTGGTTATTGAAAACGACCGCAATTAATTGCACTAGAGGGTTTAGTAAAATTATCTTTAGTTTTAATTGTACCCAACTGTGTGACAGGATTCAATTCTAAACTAGTAGTACGCTTATTCTGCACGTAACGGGATGAGTGAACATGAGCGCAATAATAAAAGTGTCCACCCACACCTAGCATACCTACCAGTGTCACTGGTGAACACAATAATGTTATTTGTATGGGCAAATCAACCCATGAGTCGGGGCAAATAATGGTGAGTCGGTGGCTCAGTCGGTAGCGTCACGGACTTCGGGCCCAAGGCAGCGCGATGTCGTGGGTTCGGATCCTGGTCACTGCCACTAATTTTATCAGTGCAGTTCACCTTTGTACTGTACCGGCTCACCCCTTACTTTGCTGTAAACGATCCACGCACGGGCGCTTAGTCTATGTGGACGGGCAAATGCAAGGTTAAAAGAGGCTGCCAACCTCTTAAAAAAAAAACCAAATCTCAGTCAACAACCATCCTAACTTCTCGTCCATTAATTAACCAAAGTCATTGGTAATATACGTAATGTATTTCCTGTTTCCCTCTCTTCTCATAGCATTTTATTATTGCAGATACATTAATCTAACTGTCACAAAGAGTTCGCACACTCTGGACTGTTCACCTTGACTACTTCCTTCACAACTTCCTACGTCGTGGACCTGTTTCCCTCTCTTCTCATAGCATTTTATTATTGCAGATACATTAATCTAACTGTCACAAAGGGTTCCCACACTCCGGACTCCTCGCCTCGACTACTCCCTTCACTACTTCCTACGTCGTGGACCTGTTTCCCTCCCTTCCCGTAGCATTTTTATAATTGCAGATACTGTACATTATTCTAATTATCACAAAGGGTTTCTACACTCCGGAATTCTCGCCTCGACTACGTCCTTCATCACTTCCTACGTCGTAGACCTGTTTCCCTCCCTTCCTATAGCATTTTAGAATTTCAAATAGATTAATTTAACTTTCACAAAGGGTTCCCACACTCCGGACTGTTCACCTTGACTACATCCTTCACCGCTTCCTACGTCGTGGACCTATTTCCCTCCCTTACTGTAGCATTTTAGAATTTCAAATAGATTAATTTAACTTTCACAAAGGGTTCCCACACTCCGGACTGGTCACCTTGACTACATCCTTCACCGCTTCCTACGTCGTGGACCTGTTTCCCTCCCTTCCCATAGCATTTTAGAATTGCAATTACTGTACACTAATCTAACTGTCACAAAGGATTTCTGCACTCCAGAATGCTCGTCTCTACTACTTCCATTACCACTTCCTACGTCGTGGACCTGTTTCCCTCCCTTCCCATAGCATTTTAGAATTGTAGTTACATTAATCTAACTGTAACAAATGGTTTCTACACTCCAGAATGCTCGCCTCGACTACTTCCATTACCACTTCCTACGTCGTGGACCTGTATCCCTCCCTTCCCGTAGCATTTTTATAATTGCAGATACTGTACATTACTCTAATTATCACAAAGGGTTTCTACACTCCGGAATTCTCGCCTCGACTACGTCCTTCATAACTTCCTATGTCGTAGACCTGTTTCCCTCCCTTCCTATAACATTTTAGAATTTCAAATAGATTAATTTAACTTTCACAAAGGGTTCCCACACTCCGGACTGTTCACCTTGACTACATCCTTCACCGCTTCCTACGTCGTGGACCTGTTTCCCTCCCTTCCCATAGCATTTTAGAATTGCAGTTACTGTACACTAATCTAACTGTCACAAAGGATTTCTGCACTCCAGAATGCTCGTCTCTACTACTTCCATTACCACTTCATACGTCGTGGACCTGTTTCCCTCCCTTCCCATAGCTTTTAGAATTGCAGTTATACTAATCTAACTGTCACAAAGGGTTTCTACACTCCAGAATGCTCGCATCGACTACTTCCATTACCACTTCCTACGTCGTGGACCTGTTTCCCTCCCTTCCCATAGCATATTAGTATTGCAGGTATATTAATCTAACTGTCACAAAGGGTTTCTACACTCCGGACTGCTCGCCTTGACTACTTCCATCACCGCTTCCTACATCGTGGTCCTGTTTCTCTCCCTTCCCATAACATTTTTAGAATTGCAGATACATTATTCTAACTGTCATAAAGGCCCCCCACACTCCGCAGCGCTCGCCTTTACTACTTCCTTCACTATTTCCATCACTATGACCTGTTTCCCTATCTTTCCATAGCATTTAAGTATTATAGATACGTTAATTTAACAGTCATAAAGGGTTTCCGTACTCCTTTCTTTTCACTGCTCACCTTTCCGCTTCCTTTACCACTCTCTACGTCGGGGACCTGTCCCCCCCTTCGCATAGCATTTTAGTATAAAAATATACCAACATCTTTGAATATTTAATATTCAATGCCAACATTAAATTGAATAATGTGAAAAGCTGCTTTGTTCTAAATACATACATACCTATATACTTTTAATTTAAAGGTGAATTGTAATGCTAAACACAAACGGTATATAACTGCCGACTAATATTGTTAAGTTCAATTTATTATTCTGAAAGTTGTGAAATTTAATTAGCTTAAATAACATTATTCTGAAAGCTGTGAAATTATAATGATATATATTCATAGACGCCAAACTGTTTACTCCATGAATGAAAGAGCTTAGAGTAAAAGTCGTTCTCTTTGTCTTAAGTAGACAACAAAATTGTTGGTCGCAAAACGTAAACAAATAAAAAGAAGAAGAAGGTAGCTCCTAATGTTATTCTTATGGGACAAATTTAAAAATGTTTTTTAAGTATTTTATAATTACTACTGAGCGGAATCGTCTAGAATTTTAATGGTGTCTTTACACTGGTGTCATAACTAACTGTGCAAAATTTGAACGCTATAAGTGCAACGGTTCTTGAGTTTTAGGTGCGAACACACTCACTCACAGACAAGCGGACAACTTTTCTCCGACTCCGCTATACACGATACATAGATTCGTTCACTTCGTTCACTCATCTATTAACAAAATGTAAACGAAGTGAAATGTAATATACTCCGTTCACAATATTTAGGTAGTTCGAGGGGACGTTCCCCACAATTTTTTCTGCTTAGTGGAAGCTGATTAACGTTTAGACAAATCTCGGCTGTTGAGCTATGTTTTAATGGTAGAATGAAGACGTGGAAGGAATATATTTCTTCACTTATACCACCTAAATTTTTTAAACGGCGTATAATGCAAACGTAGACATTGTATTTTATCTTTGTCTTTACGGAGCACAAACAATCATATTTACTTACAAAAGCTCCGCATCGGAACTCTGGACGTCCACAGAGCGTTGCTCGATTGCATCAAACTCGATGCAGGCAATGATGCTCGACTGCATAGCATTTTGTTTTTCGAGTTCATGGTAAAATTTGAGGCTAACTTTTGAGCCCAGTCGGATTAGCAATTTCTGAGTTCAACCTTTACCAACACAGAATTGTCTACATTTTACAATGTACATATTTTCGTGTAGAAAGTACTACTGGTGAAGGTATCACCTTTCTCCACGGGTTAATGCAAGGCCACACTAAAAAACAAAGTTTTTTAGTGTGGCCTTGGTTAATGGTATTGTCATAAGCATTATCAAATTAAGTCATTGGCCCGAATGTCAATAATCTAGCATCTGGCAAAGTTTATATTTTGGCTGTCAAATATACAATAAAGTTCCCTTTGTATACAAAGTCCCGGAACGGTGTAATATATTTTTTACATTAATAGACTGAGACGGGTGGCGTCGTCCTGTAATCCAGCTACTAGGAGGTCACGAATTGTGGATAATTGTAGGGATGCACTGTGGATGTGACGCTCCCTGGTGTGGATTAACGTCCGCACTATTGAGTACTACGACTATCCGCAGTACTATCCTAATAATTAGACCAATTTGTTAATTAAGGCTAGGATTATACTAGGACGCTGGCGTCCGGGACGCTAGCGGGGCATTAAATCAAATAGGGGCGATTATACTAGGGATGCCAGCGTCGGATGCTAAAAAAGCCACCGGACGCTCGATTTTGTGCCTCCTTGGGAACGGGGTTTTGTGGGGTAAAAAAGGGGTTTTGTCATATTTCTCTCTAGGCAATTTTAATTAGCTTAAAGGCATATAATTAAGTATATTAAAGTGTTTTTGTACGGTTATTAGTTACGTATAAAATTCAAATAAGTGTAAATTTAAAATTCCCATGTTATTCTTATAGAAAATATTTGTAACTGTTGAAATTTACTTGTGTATGGATATATTTTGGTCAAACTTGGCCAATTTGTTTCATAAGCTATTAATATTTTACTAAAAACACACAATATTAGCCTCCTTAAAGCAGCAAATCTGGGTATATCATAGGTGTTAAACCTAATGTTATTTAAATAGATATAAACAAAAAGTGACAAAACAATGAAATAAAATTGCCGTCCGAGAGGCTAGCATCCCAACACAAATCACGTCATTTTAGGCTCGACTTGGGACGCTAGCCTCTCGGACGCCAGCATCCCGGACGCCAGCGTCCTAGTATAATCCTAGCCTAAGAGGAAAAAATGTGGTTCGGATTCCACAATAAACTGTAGGTCCCTTAGTTGCCATTAGCTGTTATTAATTAACAGCTGTGTCTAAGGAACATGTCGGCCTTAGTCACTAACAAGACAAGATCGCGCCACTCATCCTACACTCATCCTTCACTCATATTTGGGTTAAAATACGCACATAGTGGCGTCTCCATCTTAAATAATTGATTGATTGATTGATTGATTGATAAAGTAATATAAAACTTGGTATATTGATATAATAACCATAAATGTCTACTCTTTCAAGCTATTATTACATTTTTATCTATTTAGGGGGACGGCCCACGATGAGTAAGACGAAATTCTCAAATATCAGCATAGGTCGAGTTTGGTATCAAATTAAAAGGTCTTATTTATAGTAAAACACACCGCAACCCCCAACTCAAACGGACAACCAAGTAAAAAATGGCAGCCGTTCAAATATTTCTTTCATCTGCAATTTTGAATCTTTGAACGGCTGCCATTTTTTACCCAGCTGTTATTTTGAGCTCAAATTTGCGGCATTGTATTATACTAATGAAGACCTTTAATATCAACATATATGCTTGAGTTAATGATTTCTAGCAGGCGCCCCACAATAAAATAAGCATTTCAAATTCCAGGAATCTTTGAACAGCTTTATTTTTGACTCCACTGCCCGTTTGAGTTCTGGTTTGTGGCATCGTGTTTTACTAACTGAGAGCTTTATTTAGTACCAAACTCGAACTATGCTATTTAAGAATTTCGTCTGACTCCTCGTGGGGCGTCCCCTTTAAGGGATAAAAAAGAAATAATAGCTTAAAAGACATTTATACACACACACACACACACATACATTTTTACATTATACATTTATGACTATAATTGATTTAACAAGTTTCATTCCTTTATTTATAATAATATAACATTATATTACACCGTTCCGGGACTTTTCAATCACACTGTATAAATATTCATATGTTAACTTTCGGTCCAGTGACGTATGTTTATGTTTACGACACACCGTTATTTAATCTAATATACGTGCTTTAGTCCATGAACCGCCTTGTATTTTTCTGTTGAGTTAATGGGTTGTACATATTTTTAAAAGTTCATATTTTTAAAAGTTACATTTATGTCTGGTCTCTAAACAGTTGGATGCTTGACGTTGCCTAGCGACGGCACGTAACCTGTTCGGAAAGTTATAAATGTGATCTATGTGTTGTATTCATTTTTCAGGAATCGAAAATATTATTGATGCTTGGACATACTTATGTAACAGAAAATTAAAACAACAAGGGAGTTTTTTGGGTGGTTATAAAACTACAGTGTCATTATGACAACCAAGCAGTTTCAAATTAAAAATATTTCAACTAAGTAAAATATTATGGTCTTTCAAAGCTAAATCATTCTGGTTCATAGAGTTTAGTATTTAGCAAATCAAGTTTGTTTAATGCTGTCAAATGGCAAATGAGTTCGTCTGAATGTATGAACAATAAATACCCCTATTGAAAACCAGCGTTCAACTGATTTGCATAATAATTTTGCACTATTTAATTTTGTGCGATTTTCCAATATTTTGAATATGAAAATATTTGAAGTTTTTAAAATTGTTTATAATGTAAAATAAATATTGATTTTTAGGGAATAGTTAATTGGATTTCATACAACTTTTTGTTTGAAAATAGTCAAATATAAAAAAAAATCACATAGCGTTTCATACAACAATATAACTGATAGGCATTCAAGTTTAGAACTCCAGATTTCACTGAAAACGTATATTAAATATTCTCTTTTAAAATATTCTCTTAATAATACAAAGCAATCCGGTTTAGCGAAGTGAGGCTGCGAATTGTTCACATACATGTAATCTGTTTGAACAACTTTAATTGCAATAATTTAACAGCTATTACTTAACCGCCTACGCTCATAGCACCATTGCATGGGTGGCCGAGTATTTCCACTGAAATTTCAAAGAGAAATCAATATAGTTATTTATGTTACTTTGTGAAGTTCAAAAGTTAACACGTCATGAAATTGGGATGGACAATCATCTTGGCATCGCTAGTAAGTTACATTTAGTACAGAGAATACCTTTTCTTTCGTTAATTATAATTTAAATAAAAAAATATTATTTAGGGAGGTCAGATAATTAGAATGTACTTGTTAAAATTTGCTACAAAAAAGTGTAAATTTTTCCCATGTACAACATCACTTTGATAATTCATATTAATTATTGATTATTGATTAATGAGTAATCTTCGTTAACTACAACTCGTTAATATTCATATTTTAACTAGTAGCGTCTGGATATTTTTTCCACGTGCTAGTTGTTGACTAATTTGACCATTTTAGTGTCTACAACTTTAATACTTTAATACTTTACTTTTATACTTTTCATTGAAATGGCGACCATACAAAGTAGGTGCCAAGTACGAATGGAGATGAGTGTAGGATGAGTGGCGCGATCTTGTAGTCTTGTTAGTGACTAAGGCTGACATATTCCTTAGACACAGCTGTTAATGAATAGCTAATGGCAACTAAGGGATCTAAAGTTTATAGTGGAATCCGAACCAACTTTTTGCCTTGGTATTAACGAATTGGTCTAATTATCAGAATAGTACTGCGTATAGTCGTAGTACTCACTTGTGCGGACGTTAATCCACACCATGGAGTATCGCATCCACATCACATCTCCTTAGCTGGATTTAAGGACGACGCCACCGTCCCAGTCTGTTATACCGGAGGCAATAACATCAAACAGTAAAAATTGAATATTATTGCAGGACTTTCCTCAAACTAAACCCAAGCGTCAGTTTTAGTTTAGAGCTAGTAGTTTAAAGTAATGGTCCAGCCTAAAGTGCCATCTGATCAAATACAGTAAACAAGCTGTAAATTGTGTGCTTTGCACACTTATCATTCACTTATCTTCACCTTAATCCACCGGTGTTTCCACATAGTAAAAATCTATTATGTAATACCTAAATATTATAGGTAGTCGCAAAGCTGGTGTCTGGTGACAAAGATAAGTCATCCTCGGATGAAAATTCTCCCAAGAAAGCTCATAAGAATGTGAAGCAGCCTAAATCTTCGATACACATGGAAACACACCGATTTGGCGAAGACTATATAATCTCAACCGACCCAAAAATAAACAACATACAACTGCAGGGAACTTATAAGGGGAGTAAGTATATTTATTGAATTGGCAAGCGAAAATAAAGGTCACTGATAGCCGATAAAACTTATTGGTAAAATCTATTAAGCGGTATAATAACAAATAGGACATATTCCTGACTGGCCCTATATGAGTATTGATTTTAAATTTTAGCTGTTGGAAGGTTATGATATTGTAAAATTTGTAATAAAACATTTGTCAACAAAAAGGAGTTTATTCCTAATAGTTTTCATAGTTAGTTAAGTACATTAACATTTTCATTAAAACTGTACGTACCAAAATTGAATGGCAAAATCGCATATTGCAGTCATGATGTTAATGGAGATTACGATTTGTTAACAAATAATCAAACAAATTAATTACCCTGAATCGTAAATTAAACATACCACCCATTAGATTTATAACCCTTATAGATCCTTTTAAAACAATGTAATTCATGTCCTGAAATATTTTCAGGTTGGTTTTGGTTACCAATGATTTGCCTTCAATTTACTAACTTTTAAGCCTACTTTAACTAAATAACACAATCTGTTCATACAGTGTCGTTTCCCTGGTATTATATTGACTCAATATAGGAATACATATTGTAATACTAATCATTGAATAAGAAAACAAATTATTGTACATAAAACCGAACAACATCCCAAAAAAAAAACATGCTGTGGATTTTACAATAATGAGTTTTTGGTCTGCTTGTAAACACATTTTACACGATTGAGTAAATACTCCAGAGAATGTAATTTTTTATTATCAAATTTAACAAATTGATGTGTTTTCAGTAATTTTTTTGGACGAATTCAAACAGCAGGGACAGCCTTTAGAAGTGAAAGTCTTCCGTTACAATAAGAAATTCGATAACAAGTGGCTAACAAAAGTGGAAATAAGAGTTATTGAACCAAGAGTCAACCGAGATCCTATTATATTCGGATGTAGCGTCTGCCGAAGACCTAATGTGTTCATAAACCGACTCAAAACTGTCGTATACAGCAATAATGACGTTTACGGGATTCTGGCCTACAGAGGGAAACCGTTGATGTCAATGAGATTCAATGCTTGCAGTGAAAAACAAATAGCAGGGATAGTGAGACCACTGGAACCAATGACTCATAAGAGGTGTAAAGAAGCTATAAAGGAAATGAAGCACCCAGGTAGGGCAAAGGTGGTGAATTCATTTGGATCTGTCTTGAAGAGGTTGGTTGAGAAACTGTTCGGCTGGCTAATGACAACAAACAAATTAAAAAAATATCCCATAGGTAATTATAAACCCGGAGCCACCACTGCAACGCCAGCTACACAAGCCGCTACCCCTCCTGCAGCCGCTACCCCTCCTGCAGTCGCCAGTCCTCCTGCGGACACAACGAAGACATAAACGTGGACATGGGCTGAGTTGCATTTGTAAAAGTAAACGTAATTTGGGAATGCGTAAATTTTATTACTGACTCTTCCTTGATTTGTCCTGTGTTAGCGGAATTATCACCATAACAGACATCAGATTAATTCGTATTGGCTCAAATAATAAAGAGAGCCAACGTTAAAGTGACGTAAAACCAGGCATCGTAAGTTAGTATTGATTAAGTTACAATAAGTTGATAAGTTTACAATCGAAATTAAAACTGAGTTGACAACAGCTGATTTTTACTCCCTAGGGGCTAAAAATGCGTTTTATTCCCTAGCTAGAGAGTAAAAATGCTACTTTAGACCCGCAACCCATGCATTAAAAACGGCTGTTTTTGCAGCAGTATGACGAAAAATTAATTCTTCGTATGTTATAAAGTAATAATGAACTACAAACTCGAAGTCAATAAGGCAAACAGTTGTATTTTACAGCTGAAGTTTGTCTTTTGTGATTAGTAGGTACGTCACGCAAAAATGTAAAAGTTTCCCTTGCACGACATGTACAGAAACACATAACGTTCTTGTCGTTAATCATAGATAATCATAACTGAACACAGCCAAAGTCATGTAAGCGACATATAAGTACTTATACCTTTAATCGTACATATAAGAGCTTAATACGTATCTGAAGAAGACATCTCTATTGGTGGCTTCAGTATCGAGTAATGGAGTTGTTGTTGTAATTTTCTATATGAGAAGCTGCTAAGTTGAAGAAACCAAGTTAAAAACTGATTAAGGTAAAAACCTTAAAAGGTTAAACCTTGATTGATGGTTAAGGTTCCGATCTTACTTTTAATATCTGCAATACATGGGTATTAGTTGTAATACACAATTGTGAATGTGCAATAAAATATGTTTAAGATCGTCTCAATTTTAAATATCTATACATGTTGTCAGGGAATAAAATAGAAGAACGGTTGGAAGATGTTCCGGAGAGAGCTTAAGATTTGTAAAGATATAATTCCTGCATGTAATAACATATTGAATTTTTTTTTTAGAACTGAAACGCATAAGCTTCCATATAAAAATTACCGAAATTAACACCTCTGTAATTTACATACACATAGCTAAAGAGAACTGGTTCTGAATAAATATATCGATAGTAAAATACGTATTACCACAAATAATTGCAAATGTAACAATGGGCAGGGGCATGGATAGTTGGGTAGACAATGAATTTAAAACTACCTTAATATCAACAACAGCCCGTACTGCTTCAACTAAATTTTAAAAGAACCAAATTCAAGGATTAAAACAATAATAATAGCTTGCAGGAACCCAGTAACATTGAGTACATAGAATGGCGGACAACACAGTTTGTTTATCTTGTCTCGAGGGAACATCATTTGCAGAGTAGTTCTCTTAGCCTACAGGCTGTATTCTGGAAATAGTAAATCTAGTAAGAAGATAACTTCTTTTTGTAAAAAAATACAACCGACTTCAAACGCTCTAAAAAGAATGAAATAATTTCAATAAAGTAAACTTTTGTATTAGGCAAGCTCACGTATTTTAAGTCGGCGCGGCTCTATGATGATTTTTGATACAAAATTGAAAGAGGGTGTCCATATTGCAGGTGACTATCTATAACTAAAGGTGTTAATCTGCATGTGTTTTTCATAGTTATGCGTTAAGTGTTATTTTATTACCGTAATCAGAGATCGGCATTATAGTGGTATTAACGAGTATCTTTAAAAAGATTATAACGCATTTAAATGTTTCTAACTTTGAAAAGTAACGTTTTAATACTAAACTAGCTTCTTTTCCCTATCATAATATCAAACTAAATTATTTTCCTATTCATATAGAACATTTGTGTGTGTTATTTTCATAATGCATTTATTCTGAAGTAAACATAAAATACAAGAAAATATTTCCTTTAATATATAAACAAAACAGTTCAGTATGTTTTTTATATATTTATGTTATCCAGCTACAATTTACGATTTTCAAAATACACACACAATATTTAATTTCAATCATATTTGCAGTTTGAGCCGCGCCGACTTGAAATACGTGAGCTTGCCTAATACAAAAGTTTACTTTATTGAAATTATTTCATTCTTTTTAGAGCGTTTGAAGTCGGTTGTATTTTTTTACAAAAAGAAATTATTTCATGATTTTTAGTGACTGTATAATTTTTTATATATCAATCACTTGAGGTTTTTTGATAAGCAAAACTGTTTGAAACAATCAAAAGTTCCACAGAACAATAATTATTTTAAAACTGCTTGAGTCACCTGTTGAGGTTACATAATCATTGGTTATGAAAATAAACATTTTTAGATATTCCTTAAGAAAGAAAGAGTTGTCCATTACATTAGGCCTGATGAAAAACTAATTGTCTTTTCTAGATACATTGAAATGTCAGACATCATCGTTTCCTGCAATCGGTGTACTTCTACATTATAAAAAGAAATACAGTAACGTCTCAAGCCTTTTGGAACAATATGAAAGTTATTCCTCAGCTACCAGCACTAAACAATCTCTCAAAAGTGGAAAATTGGTCGTTAACACGTATAGTACCTTTGGAAAATATTATATGAAAGATTGGTTCAGCTAAAAGTGGTGTAAGTCATGTAGGAGGTTTTGTTTGATCAAGATATAGCCTAGTCGAAATTGCAAATCATCTTCCCCTAGGACTTTCCGAAGCAGGCATAATGGTACTGATATGATAATAGTAACTGGGTAGAGAATATTAATAAACATTCCACATCTGCAAATGCATGTTTAGTAATTAAAATATTTAACACTTTTAAGACAATTGACGATTATGCACTGTCACACTTCTTAGGTCGTGTAAGGAATAATTGCATTTAATATATATTTAGACCTGTTTTACGAATGCTTTGGTTTTCACAATACACCTTTATTTGTCGATATCATACAGCTATTCACTGAAACATATATGTTTTTGTAAGTCAGAATATTCAATACTAAAAACAGAATTACTGTATACACAAATCAGGTCAAACGTTAAAATACATTTTCTATAGTAACTGTTCTATTTCTAATCCAAGAATATTAAACACACATCTTGTTTCAACAAACTTTATTTCAAAACTAAACCAATGTTTACAAAAACATGTTTACAAAAATCATCTGTCAACAAAAGATATTTAAACACAAATAAATCATATGACTAGAAGAACAGACTTAATACAACAGTAACCAAAACAAAAAGCATTTTTCTCAATGTAATTAATTTAGGCTCCATGGCAAGAAATAGTTTATTGATCAGTATGAAGCAACTGTTTCATGAAGAATTGTCTGTAGCTTCATTTAAATGGTTTCATCTAACAGCTGTAGGAATGTTATTATTATTTATTGCCTTCTCTGCACAAATGTAAACAATCTGCACAAATGTAAACAAAATAAATGTTGAATGTTTAAGGTTTTCAGAATTTTTCACCGAAACTAATATTATACTTAAACATAATATATAAGGTACCAAATAGAAACTCTCCTGGTTATTTTGGTGGTGGAACCACACTGATCGGTAAAAGAATCACAGAGAAATTGGTGAACATACATAGAAAAAAAAAAACATCGCCACAGACAAATTGAGAACCTCCTCCTTTTGTTGGTAGTGGGGAAGTTGGTTAAAAAAGAGAAGACTTAATGGTTAAAATACTCCCTTAAGCATTTATCAATAATAGAGATCGTCCAGTGGTCGAAAACTCGACAAAAAATATGCAATGTATAGACTTAACTGTTTTCACACACATAAAAATGTGATTGGAGTTTGTTTTGATTTTCGTTATTATTTCGTCACCAGCATGACAATCCATAAGACCCATGTTAGTAAAATAATTGTGTGTGCCTAATTTGAGCCTAATTTAATTTATAAACGGATTATGCACACAGGAAAATATCTTCCTAACAGTATTCGTAGATTTTCCCTGCTAACACACAAGCTGAGAAAAAAGGGTTTCAAGAAACATCGCGATTGCCACAACAACAACACAACTAATTTTATACTAATATTTATATCAAATAAAATTCGAGTGCGTTTAAATGAAGATTGCTTCGTACAGGCCATTTTACTAACATTTAAATTCATACATCCAGAATATTTGCAGGTTGCTGTTAACACTGTGATATTATTAGCAAAAAGGAAAGCATACAATGTCAAATTTGTTATAAAATCTTTAACTACCCCGAAATAAAAAAATAAAAAATACGAAAGCTTAGAATGCACCATTACAGTACAAACGATGGAGTATGGTAACCATTGAATCAAGTCTTTATCTCCTATTTCCCCACAACCACGGACCCCATCTATCTACAGCCCCTGTTAGATTTATAACCCCACATATCAATCGAGACATTAACCTTCGATTCCTTTCGAAATTCCTTAGGAGAGGGGGAAGCATGCAAACGGAGTGAACGTGTGTTAGATCGGCTCTTCAATTTTAATTGTTTAAACGGGCTTTTTGTTATATTTCTGAAGCTTTAAGTTGCATGAAGTAGTTATGGACTGTTATTGAACATTTGTGATAAGTGATTTGCTACAATTAGTTATTTTATGCCCGGCATTTGTGATTTTCAATACTGTTAAATCCAAGTGAATAGTACAGGTTAACATTGGTTAACCAATAAGATAACATTGGTTAGGAGCCGGTCGGAGTCACGTGACTGGACAGCTGTCCCTGTGACTCATGCCTGTCATCACCCGTAGTGCCAGTACATCTACACCTACAGCAGACGACAACGACACAGCAGACGACGCAGCAGACAACATGAGTTTGACAACTGATCAGAAGCTTGATTTAATTCTTAAGGAAGTATCTGACATTAAGAATCACAACACTCAGTTTAGTTCTGATATATCTGAGATGAAATGCAAAATAGAACAGTTTCAGAAAGATATAGGTGAAACTGTCGATATGTGTTTTTTGAAACTGGAAGACACTAACAAGGAAGTTAAGGTTAACAAAGAAACCCTATTGCTACATGAGACACGTACAGATGCAATATCTAGTGAATTGGAGATAGTGAAGAAGCAGTTGGCTGAACTACAACAAA